CAATCATCTGTTCTTATAAACACAAACTCTAAAAATAAGAATATGAATACGAAAGTTTCTATTTTATACAATTATTAATACAAAGAAGAACACTCAGAAAAAATTCCTTCGATCCGGCCAGATTCGAACCGACATCTTCTAGCACACCGCGCTATACTAACTAAGCCACGGAACGAACCAGCGGACCTCACGAATTTTTCTATGTGCTTATCTATTTTATAGTTATAGTACAGAAGATAGTAAAAAATACCAAAAAGCATTAAATGATAAAAACAAAACAGTGTCTAAGATAAATCAAAGAAACTGAAAGGCCGATAAAAGGGAAATTAAATTACATTTGAAAACAAACATTAGCATACGATAACATAACAACACTGAGAAACTTTCAAATGCAGAAGAAGATACAATTTTATTCGTACAGGTGGGAAAATGAGAAAACTACTGAAGATATTGTAAATCCTATTACAAGGCGTCAATTGACAGTAAACAGATGTTGGTAATTTATAAAAACTTTTTGCTACGTAGAAAGAGAAGAGTGGTTTAGGCATGTAGTCAGATGTTAGTTGTTTGTCGTTGTTAAGAATCTTATTGAGTTAATTATCTCCAAGACGGCGCATGTTAAAGCTTTTGCTGCGGTTATGTAGAAAAGTATTTAGGCTTCTTGTTAAATATCTACCTATAGTCAGTTCCGCGTGTGCAAGAAAACGAGTAGATAAAGTAGAAAGCAAAGGCTAAGAAAGGGTTCGGAATGGTAACACGAGCTGCATTCATTGATCGGGCAATCCTGATGTATTACGATTGAGCGTTACTGTCCAAAGTTGTATTGCCAACTTCTATAGTACCGAATGCAGACAACTCGAAATGTTACCTGTTTTATCACCCGTTGTTTTCGTCGACGTCCCGAGCAATACCAATCCATCAAATCATTTGTCTCAATTCTCATTAGTTCTCTAAGTACCGCATCTCGCAGTCGACACACGCGCGCCCGGTCGCCAGCCGAGCATGGAAATTTAATTAATCGATGTCGATCTTTCCGCTTTCTCAGTGCTTGGAATCGATTTATTACTAACGATCGTTGATGATCGATTTTAAAGGACGCTAATACAATAAGTCAACAATATAAAGTGTTGTTAATCGATATTCCCAAAGTAATGGATCGGGTTCGACAAAATAAAAAAAAATTTGCCACAATAGCCAGGGTTGACAGCCTTCTTGAACTTCACGTTGTACCTGATTTAGAAACTTGCGAGATTCTGCTACCTATCTTCTTTATTTATCCTTTAACAATTTACTTGCGCCAATATACCCACACTCGGTTTCAAACGTAATCATAATTTTTACGATATTTATGAATACAATAATTCGTGCAAAATATTTAATTATAACATGTAGTTACTGTTTGATATCATCCATCCGATTTCATTATACAACAACTTTCCTCGTAAAGTGTTAAGTAACATGACATAACTCTTAACGTCGCGGGTTAAAGTTCACAATGACAGACAAAAAATGTGCTGATAGCTGATGATGAATTAGAAAGGAAATAGTACCTATAATCTTTCTTGTTCACGAAGTGGTAAAAGACGTTACGAGGAAACTCAGCTGTCGATGGTTTGTGTTATTATTACGGTTATGACTAATTTAAATTGACACGCGCTTGCTGATAAATGCAAACTCTTCTTTCTTTTATCGTTGCTTTAATTAATATAAACTACCGTTTAACTTAGTACTAAAATACTCCACAAATCTACACAAATTGATTTAGTCTCTAATTTGCAGTTCACTTCAAGCAAACCTCGAGACTTGATGAAGTTTATCAGAGGAATGCCTGTCATTATTGTGATTGGAGAAATGCGAAATGTTAGTACAGTGGATTATATTATGCAAAAGTGATTACGCAATTTATTAAAACTCAATTGTACAAATTGATCATAGGCGAAATGACGTCAGTCGAGCAGTCGATAGTTCAGTTTTCGGTGACAGCTTATGTCATCGCCATAGGATATTTACATAGTCATTTTTGCTTGTTTTTTGTTTAGCTTTCCTTATTGTTATCACAAGCACGCCAGTTCCTCTATGACGTGCCATATTTACCACACAATATCCTGTTGGTATGTTTAACACAAAAGCTTATATTGAAGACATTTAATTGTTTAATTCTTCACGGGGACTCAAGAGGTCAACGAAAACAATTAATAAAACAACTAATTCGAAAGAGCCATTGTGATATAATATTGTTGTTGACAGACATTCATTTTATTTATTTATTTAGGATTTCCACATAGAAAACGTTGAACTTTAAATATGTAATAAAAAAATTATACATTTAAGCTAAAAATATTAAGTGCCTCTGCACGTAAAGGACACCAAAGCTTGCGATGGCAACAAAATACTCGTAAAGGAAAATAAAATAAATCTGTGTCAACGTAATAACTACTAATAACTAATAAGTTTTGTAATAAAATTAATTTAATAGTATACAAACTGTATCCAAATGAAGATTTACGCTAAAACATCTTTTTAATTGTTTAAATCCTGACCAATATCCCAAATGAAAGTACTTCTTCAAACAAAGACTTAAAAAAAAAGGAGGAGATTCTATATTCGACTGTATTTTTTTGGGTGTATGTTACACGATAACTCCGGCGTTTGTGAAACGGTTTTGATGATTCTTTTTGTTAATAAGAAGTCTGTTGGAAAGAAGGTACCTCGGTAGTAATCCTGTTTAAATTTGAACAAAATATTCCACCTCTAAGGGTGACAAACTAGGGGATGGATCCGATTTCGCATACTTTCCGGTAATCGATTTCAATGAAACTTGGCAAATATAATTCCACGAACTTTTGAGATCGTTTTTTTAGTTCTCCGTGCTGAGATTATTACATTAAACAGCTGAACTCTTGACCAGTGCTGGACTGCGCGTGACAGGAATAACGCGACAGTTGACCCAATGAAAGAGAGTGTTAGAGAGCAGTCAGGGTATATATTATAGTCTGTAGTTAGTTAATCTTAGTTTAGGTTGGTTATTATCTGCTATAATGCATGGTGTTTACTGACGTGTTACACATTTAAAAAATAAATAAATGTAAATTCTAAAACAATCACAAAATGTAAAATATCAAACATGGACAAGAGAAAATTTCAAACACTTGAACAGCAGAAACAGTTTCCTAAGTGAAAATCATCCTACATACCTAGAATAAAGTGTGTCAGTATATTATGACGCATTAACAGCAACTATATGACCCCAAGGTTAGCCTTTTGGCGAATAAATCTCGCGAGAAAGTGGCCCTCGCCGGCATCGAACCGGTTGTCCGTACTTTCGATACCACTTCCCGTCTACTGAGCCGACACACGACGGGATGTTAAGGATGTGGATGTTAAAGCTTGTTTTAAAATGTAAACTCAAAAATATAAAATTCTGAAGTAAAGTTTAATAATTATAATATAATATGAAATTCGTTCAAGTCTACATTTTCGAGGTTTGATGTTCGTTTTTAAAAATGCTACGGAAATTATTGGGGCATACCAATTAGTGGAGTTATTGAAATAATTCCAATTCCTTTGTTTTATTACCCATGTTTACTGTTATCATCTTCTTTCATGGTTATTTGGATTCCTACACTCCCACAACGGCCACTCCCACATTACGCACAAAAATCCTCATTGGTGTTGAAAAGATTGTATGATTTGATTATTGTTTCTGCGGTCCGTATTCCTACAATATAGTCTTTAGCAAATGTGACGAGCGCCAATTTGACAAATATTTCCGTTCGTCATGACAATGACTCGTCTTTAAAATCATTTCATACAAAATAGCGGTGACCTACGAAGCTGCGCGGGCGCCACTGGCAGCGTCGGACCGTGAAGTTACTTTTTATATAATCACAGCCAGGTAACGGAGGCACTAGTTGCCGGAAACTATATCTCTGCTCGATTGTAATCGTGTGCTTTTATAGCTCTAGTCGGCAACCAAGAAGATATATTAATTTGCAGAAGTAACTAGAAAACGAATTGGTTTTTTCACTTTCCTTCTAAATTTTTACTTCTGGTATATCATAATCATCGAGTATATAACCAAAAATAGAGGCGAAATAAGGGCCATATATTCCTGGTAACACATTAGCGATACAGCTCTTATAAATATCAACTCTCGTTTGCACTGAAATATAGACAGGCTAACAACTGATCTGTGTGTACGTCTCTATATTGGAATATACGTATTCCAAAAAAATATTATGTATTTATTGTAATAAAGATAATATCTCGAACAGTGCCGTGTTATTCTATTCCGTGGTGTGGGAAAAACAGCAAAACATCTAATTACAAACCAAACGGAATCAAATTTCATCGGTAATTAAATATGTAAATTTGCAGTTTTCGTCCATTGCAGCAAAGCTCAAGTTAACTGGTCGTTTTGAAGTGAAACAGGTGACGACACCCGTCAATTGTTTCGAATTCAGGCTGGCCAATCGGAGCGCAGTTGTCACAGTAACGATATGGCCGAATAGTTTTCAAACAAATTACATGACATTTCGCCTCTATTTCTGGTTATGTACTCGATGATCATAATGTTGCCATTAAAAATCACCAACCAATTTACCAAAATATATATTATTATATATACTATATTCATTAAACATACAGAAATCAATAATACTTGTATTTAATAATACTAGTATTAAAAAAACATATTCACGAAATGCAACAACGTTCTAATAAGCCATTTGTAAATAGGCTTGATAATTAAATATTAGATACCTAGATCAGAACGCGTTACGCTACGGTCAGTCGATAACCGCAACAATTATTGATACTTGGTTTATAATCGTAAATCAAATTGTTGTAATACTATACGTAGTTCATCAAAGAAGAAACAGGATGTTAATTAATAAGTGAAACATGAAAATATATAGTCACTGAAAAAAGCTCGATACAAAAGCTACGTAACCGCCGCGGCGTCGCGAGGTTATAGAATTAAATTTCCAAAACAAACGCACCTGTTCAACAGAGTCTCCAGTAGATGAGAAGAATGTGGTAGAGCTTCTACTAGCAGGTCTATCGGTAAGTCTGTGGCCACAGACTGCAAAACTCCAGGACCAAGTCGGGATATAATGGCTGCTGCTTCTCTGAATTGTCTTCCTTCAGACAGGAGCAACACTCGGCGTAGAGCGAGACGAGGAGAGGTGTATGTGTTCTTCTCCCTCTCCCGCTCACGACGGATGCGCTCGCGACTCTCATTCATATTTATGGTGTCGTGATAACGCTAGCCCATGGTAAGCTGATGTTCAGTGGAGAGGTGGCGATGGGAAATTGAATCTGGAAAATAACGAGATTGATCAATATATTTGTGACCTGACAGCTCTAAATTAATTTAATTGAAATCAAAAGCGTTCAATACAATAAATCTACATAATAAGGAAGTAATTTACATTTACGCATCACTAAAGAACTATTTCCAATTTATTTAAAATAGGTAATCTAAATCTAAAAAAAAAAACTCCGCAATGTCACCACAAGACAACTGAAAATGTCAAATTTTGCCGAACCGATTGCAGACAGAGCCAAAATACTGTTACGAAATTGGTGTCATTCAGCAAAAAGACATTTCTTCCATTGGACAATGGAATTCCCTGTAGTCGAACGCTGGTCAGGTGCGGCAGGTGGCTTCCACGACTGAGTACTACACAAGTTAAAAGATATGCGCGATATAATAGAAATGGATCAGAAAACCAGCACCACGGCAGACTGACGAAGGATTGAAAGAGCGAAAGCCCAGCGGTAAGCCCGTGCTATAGTAGATGCCGATATTATATACAGTTGAATTATTTTTAGATTTTACCTGGAACTTATATTTTAGATGGAACCCCATTTTATGCCTCGGGTTTACTTATCGAACAAAGCAAACATGCCCAGACTGACTTACGACTTCTACGATTTGACAATAGTCTCTCATAATGTCGAAATTATAACTACAGATCTAAAAATATAGCCACTTTCTGAAAGAATTCGTAAGTTCAAGTTTCCGCTCTACCTCATGACTTGTGGAAACAATCAAACTCACTAATCTAACTGTTCCATTATTAAGATAAATTGTGAATGACGACGGACAGCGACTTGATGGCGGACGGTCGGCTGTGGATTTTTTGTCCGTCATCGTGACCATCTGGATCATTAGATATTTATGGGAGCACACTTGTAGCATTTAACTGAAGTAGTTTTCTATACCATTTCTGTTCCGTCATCCATCATATGTACATAAGCCCGATATTTACAGCACTTTTCTCAACCAGGTCACGTATGGCTAGGTTGCTTACCTTGCCATCCTTGAAATAGTAGCCACAGAGTCATTGCCCAATGAACGTTTTCAAGTAAGTTCAGCTGTTAATAAATTGATCGTTCAACCGATATTATTGGAAGGTCACGAAGTGACACAAGGCGTCAATAAAACGCTATACTGTATATAACATATAATAGTATATATACAACTGTTCATGAAACTGCGTATGACTTTATGTTTCGACTACAAGCATTAAACACGTGCAGAATACGTTAAACAGATACTGAATTACTTGATTACTTGATATATTCAAGAAGAATCCATAACCATTGTTAACGTTCTTTTTAGTTTTCGTTTTTGTGGATGTGTTTCAATGGCATTATTTGGTTCTGTATTGTTTGTTTTGTCTGATCTCTCTTTCTATGGTTTAGTAATAGGGTTCACATGCATTATTGGCTAGGGCTAGCTTAAATAAAAGATACTGGATCTCCTCGGCAGAGTAATCAAAATCCTGCCAGCGTTCACCTAAATCTACGCTAATGAGTGGGAGTCAGGAGCTGCCAGCTCTAGGCTCTCGCATACGTAAGTATCCAGTAACCAATTAACGATCGTTAATTGGTCACTTGCTTAGATTATAGACGCACAAATACCACACCATACCTAGTACGTCACCATTTAACTGACGACATCGGTAACGTAGAGTAAATTTCGTTGTCCTGGTACTCCCCTGCACCTGGCAATTGGTGGTGTCATTTGTCTACATATCGATGGCTATCAAACACCTTATTTATCAAGAAAATGGTTTGAAAACTGAGTCGTGTCTGGCATCCAAAGCCAAGCAATCGTTCGCCGGCACAATATCGTCACGTGATAATTTTATCCAGTATGAAGCTCGGTGTCTTATTAATAATAAAATTTAACACATTCTGAAATACAAATAAAACAGTGAAATACAAATAGAACATTATGGTTTGTGTCACTATTTCTTAAAAAGCAGCTATTGATATGCAGCACATTATCTATTGGAATGTATGCCTCATAAGAATTTCCATCGATGTGATATCGGAAACTAGACTTATACATATATTTAACACGCATGGTCACTGTGTCACTAACACAAAATGGTTTTATTCGACACACGTATAAAATGAATGTGATGGTGGTGTTAAGCTTATAGCTCGACTATCGACAACCAGTCGATATCACCGTAGAATGTAGGTCTGTTTGTCAGTTCTCTATCGACAAACACTCTTTTACTACATTTATTAGTCATAGTGTAAACTGCAAGCAAACTTGTAAACACAAAGAAATAACTGACTCTGAAAAATGTTTTCGTTGATATATATTGGTACTGACATTTTTATGACATTGCAACTTTATGTGTACTAAATACTGCACAAATTATGTATCGATTTATCTACAAAAAAAATCCAAATTACATCGATACATTTTATCGCATATCGATATATAACTATCGCAACGCTAAATCCAATTCTGACATCAACTAATACTAGTTTATTTAGGTTTGTGGATTCCTTTCCGTTTCCAATCTTCTTCGAGCATTTATTGGCGTGTAGTTATGTACCCTCTAACTTTCGGTTTTATGTTCACCGTTCTAAATTCTTTTAAGTTTCGGCCTTTGAGGATATGTTTTGATGCCAATGTTTACATTTTTATTGTATATTTTGTTGGATTTCTCTTTCTTTTACTTCGATAAATGTTAACGCGCGTTACTTTACGAATAGAATATAGATTTAAAGTCTTTTAGTTCTCAACGAAAAGTGTTGTAGATAATTACTTGTAATAATATTTATATTTATGACGTTCTTGTACATCCACACGTTAAAAGTTAATACTTTTAAGGGAAGCGAGGCAGTTTGACACTGGGGACACATTCATACACCTGCATTATCTCCATACCTTCAAACGTAATATAAGTTGTGATAATACTAAAATGTGCCTTTGTACGTGTGAGTAATAGACATGCGATGATGCAGCGCACCAGTTAGCCGTTGGCGTTTAACAGGTCGCAAAGTGTTTTCACAGCGTTGACTAAAAAATAAGCGACACAAATACGAGTTCCACTGCAGTTTTGTTCAAATTACAGGGTTTTATGTCTTAATACAGGGTAGACTAGTGTTTTCAATAACTAGATTTGCATGTGACTTTGAGAGAATGTATAAAGATATTTTTTAAATAAATATTTTTTTCTAAACTGGCCGGTGGGGTACTTGAACACTAGTGAGTTCTGTCTGCTGCCCCGTTTGGTACGGATCAAAGTGCAGCTGTTGGTTATTTTGTACGAAAAATGTAAAACTATTTTCAATTCAACGCTATTTATGAAAGAAAAGATAAAATTAGCAATGTTTATTAGTTATAATCGTTATAATCATCAATTAGGTACAAAAAATATTCATTACAATTTCATTTAGCAGCCCAAAATAAAAGTTAAGTAAAAGTGTACGAATCTGCCCCGCTTCTCACACGGGGCACTGTCACTGCGCCCGTCACCCTGGGACATTAGATAACAAGTCCCATGTGCCTGTAATTTCACCAACACCCTTACCCTTCAGAACCGGAACTCAGTGATGCTCACATTACCTCTTGTTGGCGATAGAAATAGGTAAGGTGGCAGTACTAGTAGTAGTAGTAGCAGTAGTAGTACTACCCTAGACGAAATCTTTCACAAGGAGCTCTACTGCTGCCAAAGAGATTAAAACCGTCGACCTCTCAATTGTGAAGCAACTGTTCTCTGTCTAGGCTGCTACCGCTCTTTATATTTCATGGTTTGTAAATCTTTAAGTTTCTATAGTACTCGAGGTTCCAAAATTACAATGAACCCACTATTAACCCTTATTCCTGTTTTGCGAATTTTACTCCACTCTCATGTCAATCTCGAATGTGAATCAACCACATTTAAGATTTTCATAGACACCTGGGATACGTGACAACAGGAACCGCTGAATCTTCCGTACCAATGAGCAGTAGAGTTTAATCAGTATGACTATTTCAAGTGTAATTTGCTTACCTATGATATAGAGATTATTTGATTTTGACTTTGCTCATGCATCACAGTTAAAGTATCTATATCAGCACTGTCTGTGATGCAAGTATAGTCACGCTGAGATGGCTAGATGACATTGTCAAAGTCACGGGCCGTAAATATATGAGGCTAGCTCAAGATCACAAATTATGGGGTGCCTACACCTAGCAGTGGGTGAAATCAGTTGGTGAGTGATGATGCTGAGGCATGAATGTGGACAAAATCCGCGTAACAGTAAAATGGCTGTTATATTTCATTTTCGTAAGTACACTATCGAGAATAAAAGAACGCAGAAAAACTATTTACGTTAACACTTTATCGCCTCGTCTTCTATTCTCATCAAAATCGGTATCGCTGTATTATCTTAGCCTAATTTCCATGTTAGATTAACAGCTTGTCTTCAATTGCGGTGTCACAATGACATTTCACATCGCGATGACTTCTCAGCATTGTGTGCATTACTGTTAAACGGGTTCACCGCTAAGCGGGTGGAAGGTCGGGCCTGTGTGATGGCGATTTATGAAGCGGAGAATATTTGTTTTACAGTATTCCTCAAGAAATAATTTCGAAACACCATATCAACAATGCTGATTATAAGTATTTTATTTTGTAACATCAAACAATCCCAATATCACAGTGTTACCATAGTCCTCTTGTAGGCTATTATTATCATTACTATCTTCTTGAAATTTATCCCATATCAGACCCATTTGGGCAGGGTGTCTTCCCACGTCTTCGACTATTTAAAGCACCTCTTTCTTCAACAAATACGTTACTTTAAAGTAAACGATAGTAAGCTGCACATGATTCGCAATAATCTAGTTTTACAGCCTCTCGGTGGGAAATGTATCTAGGACTCTTACAGAGAATGCAAGCGTTTTCTATACAACTAGACTATCACTGTATTTATACATTTCCTGTATACCGTAAGTGTAATCATATTTGGGCAGCCTGCAACGCTGAACTACAACAATCTCGTGGCCACAAAACGACGCGAACATCGTAAACCTAGAAACTAAAAATTCATCAATTTCTTGACTCCGTCAACACTCCGCTCTGTTCTCTCCTTATGCTTTTTGAATAACGACAATGAAGTTCACTTTTACATTATTTCAACAGAAATCGTTATACATGATTATTATTCCGTAAAATGCGCTACTATGGCTTTATCTATTCTTGGCTTAGTGACTGCGTAGATCTAAAAAGTCTCTAATGTATTATAAGAAAAAGCAAGACCACTAATGTCTTTCTAAACCACCATCATTTACACAGATGAGGCTAAGTATGAAGTAGCAATCCGCTCGCTGATAACGGGAAACGTACATCTTCTGTCGATGCCAATGCCAGCCACCACGATGTTAGCGACGAAATCGGAACACTGGCAGGGGTCAATAATGGGCAATGGCGGCAAATACAATTTATATGGAATTATTCCAATCTTCCATCGAAGACCGCGTTATAAATACAAAGGATATTATAAATATATGAATGAAATCGAAGAACTTGACGAAATAAAATAGAATGTTCAGTTGCAATCATTATTTGATTTATTAGCAATTGTTTGAATTTCCAGTTCCTGTTGGTGTTCATTACCTTAATTGGTGAAAACATAGGTGAAATATTTAAACAGGAAACATGCAATCGGCTTCTAGTTCAGCGATTCAAAAATTAAAATATTGAAATCCGGTACGTACGTGCCATAGGCCACATCTATTATATACATTAAATCAATAGGTTGGTTTTCATTCTTTTTATATTGTATCGCAAACAACCATTACAGTTTTTGACATAGGAATGAGTCACCCTTTTTCTCTCTAGTCAGATACAAGAAACTATGATTTTCATAGAAACAAACACCCACGTTCATAATGCAATTTACTTTTTACAAAAAAAGCGACACTTTTTCAAGACATGTTATAAAATAACAAAAGACAAGATTTAAATCAAAAGCAAAACATGCGGACGATTTAAAGTGACTGTACAATTAACACTGACATCAGTTCCTTTAGAACAACCCTCATCGTCAATTAATTTCTTCTCAGATAATGTTCAAGCCTTTGCACGCACTTAACAATCGTCATTATCGTGCATCGCCTGCGCCCGCGCATATTATGTTCATTATCTCGTGTCTTCCGTGATTTTTGCTGCACTTTCGCTGCTATTTCAAGTATACGTCATTGAAGAATTGAGTTTGTATGTTCCACATGCTTGATAGAATAAGAAATAATTCAGCTTTCTTTATGTTTGATATAATTTACAATAGTATCACCCAATATCGGCTGATGGTTGTCCCAGAAAACAGTTAAGAAATAAAACCAAGGGATGATTGTTTTTGAAAATTAGATTCAAGTCTTACAGAAATAGTTAACCCGCTTGCCAAACTTGACTTGAAACAAAAACATGGGTTTTATGGGTAGATTATGGTAGTTTTGTATTTCTTGCAGGATTTAGTATTCTTAATATTGACGATGCGGCATGTTACGTTGTTTGTAGCGCTATTCAACATAGTTATTTCATTGTTCTTTCAATTGTAAGACTGAATTAAAACACAGTTAATTTCCAAAAGAACAATCAGCTCATCTGATGCGTGTCACCTCAGCTGCAGGCTTCCGCACTTGCACTGCACTTTCGCCTCTATCGGATCATTTATCTCGTGTCTCGCATTGACGATTGCATCAACATGTACTGCAACATTATTTCTGATAAATCTTCTGTGTGAAGAGTTCTTTAACTTTAGCGATAATGTTTTTCTTGTAAATATTAGAGGATATTCTTCCAAAGGGTGCCGTAAAAAGTTACTTTTCGTGTAATCCAGGAGTTATGCGACAGTTAATCCTGTGCAATCGAATGCACTTTCAGTTGAAGCTACATTAAACCAATCTATCATAGGTGACCATATGTCAAGATGTTGCGATACCTTGTATACTGTCTTCAAATGGATTACGTATAGTTTAAATAAAATTAAGTTCCATCATCCATCACCATCTATCACCGAGTGTCAAATGGACCGGTTACAAAATTATCAGATGGTATTTACTTTCAATCAGCAATTTGCATACATTGCGTACTTCGTTACGCGCACTGCATGTGTTTCGGCCCAATTAATGCAATCTCTATCGTAATTTGTATCTAGGATAAACAAAATTTGAACTTATTATGTAGGATTCTAGTTCATTATTGTAACAACATGTCTGATTAATTGAAACACTGAAATGTGGTTCGATTAGTGTCGAAATGTTAAAATCTGGAACGGTCGTTGGTTAATTTAATTCCAATGTTGACAGCTCGGCTAGGCTTAACAAACTTTCCAATGAGCAGGCAGAGGAAATGTGAAAAACAATAACTTGCCTGTTTAAACTCCAATAATGCAACACATAACCATTTAAATCACTAAGTCCTCATCTCGATTCAAAAGATATTCACAGTCTGAAGTATGAAGTATGAATCTAAACCAAACTTCAAGTAAAAAGTTCAAAAATAGTATAAGCTATTTCTCTAATACGTAAAATGTTTCATATTTAACTGAACAAATGCACAAAGTCATAATGCATTGCCTGTTCTAACTTACTACTGAGTAAAGAATACTAGTTACGCTATGTTTCTCTAAATACTTGTTGTTTGCTTCAACTTTCAACGATAAAAATAAACGTTTCCATTCATGATTCGTACTCAGGTGTTCTAAGAACCATAACTTATGTCCAGTTTGAGTTTCTCTAACCACTGTTCTAAAAGTGGCCAAGAACCAGTGCGCAGAACTAGTCAATGAAATGCAGTGAGCTTAAATGGCATGGATGAGAACCTAGGCAGATTTCACTACGACGCAATATCGACTTAAATCAAAAGGAATGTTGAAAATGTACCGCTCTGGAACGTCAATAGAAAGCTATCAACTTGTCAATAGTATCAAGATTTAAATTAGCAAAGGAGTAACTCAATGACCTATGCACAATTTTTTTTTAATCTCAACCTGAGATGCTCCCAAGCAGTCACCTAAAAGGACGCAATACTGGTACGTGGCTTATGCGAAATCGGAGCTCGCCCTTGCAGGAACCAGCTTGGTCGGCCATTGCTTCTAAATATTTGACAGTGATTTGGGTATCCCACTGAATATAACGTAGTTGCAACTTTAAGCTCTTGGTTAGCAAGTGCAAGTTGCAAATTGTCACAAGCCAAAAAATTGTCACGTGACACCGGTGACACTTTTATGTGACCGATAGAGGTTCATTTTAAGGGTTCAATATAAAGGAGCTGAAGCGCGTATGGGGGCCAAAAAGTCATGCCGTAGAAAGGGGATAGCGGATTTGAAAGAGCTTTACTGACAACTCAAATGTCAAAACCTATTTCTGCCGCCAAGCTATTGTCATCGTTACTGTGTTCCGGTTTGGAAGGGAATGGTTTTGACTAAATGACGGGACGAACAAGTCGTGCGTCTGGTAAGCGATACGCCTATCCACAGCAGTTGCAGTGCCATTCAGAGAATTACATCGCAAAGATCTTTAGGGGCACTGCCGCTGCGATCGCCATCCTGTGACATAAGTTGGCAAGTCCCATGTGCCGGTAATCCCTTCAAAACGGGAACGCAATAATAGTCACCTTACTGCTTGGCGGCAGAAATAGGTAAGGGTGCTGGTGAAATCACAAGTCACTAAGACATAAGTTGACAAATCTCATGATCAGTGACTTTGGCTCTGAGAAGCAGTGCAACTGTTGTGGAAAGTCGTGTCGCTTACCAACAGGCGCGTGACTTGTTCGTCCCATAACTTGGCATCATACAAAAAATTGAAAATTCTACAAATGGAAAAATATGAAAAAACGGTTCTTGTAAAATAACTGCAACGCAGAAAACCTCACAAACGCTTGAAAGGCGATAAATCCGCAAAGTTAAGAAGCTTCCGAGTCCGCAAAAGTGCTTTGGGTGTGAAACGAAAACAATCTCAAGTTTGTTCGTCGACAACTTGCGCGAAACGCGGTGAGTTTTCAGAATTCATTTTGTCTTTTTACTCGCACCTTGACTTTCCTTAACTTTTTTCTTTATATTGTTTGAATTGCGTCAAGCGAGGGAGTGTTGGTGCAATTGCCATTGCCATTGCGGAAACAATTTAAAAATCACCTGAAACGAGCTAACTTTAACCTAATCTACAGTAGTATGTGACATATTTTAAGTAGATATAGTTTCCCTAACACGTGCGCGTAATGTACGCAACTTGCAAGGAGGGTGTAATTTTACGGCAAATAATGGCCCGGGAAATAAATTAAATAAACGCTTAACATGGTCCAACAAAAATATGCTCTTACTTCAAAATGGAATTAAAAAATGTCTTCATTTCTCAGATAAACAAATTGCGCGTGAAATCGTCACATAAGCAGTACCTAGTTTGTTTAAAGTTTTTGTTTCACGATAATTTTAAATTTTGAATATCATCAGGAATCTTGCCATTACAATTAATTTGTTATGACTTCTTAAGTACTCACCGAAAATTCAATTAATAAAATCCAGTTTTCAAATGATTGAAAACACAACACAAACACCTCAGTTCCACAACACAGACAAAAACAGTACAAGTTCACAATTAGTAGAGTAGTATCTTTTTCGAATATATCGATGAAGAGCAATTCGTTCGAGTCTCGACGCCGAATAATGTAAATACACTATCGAGTGTGCGCGGGGCGGAGGCTCGCGCGCGCGGCCGCAGTTGCGATGGAAATGTGGCGAGACTGCGGTCGCACACCGTGAAAGTTCCGGGCGGTCCTATGCAGAAGGCAAACATTTTTACTTGTTTACTTTGAAACAGCAAAACACACCGAGTTCTTAGGTTTTCGCTATTCGCGTACATTTTATTTTTTCCAACAAACTAACACTTCGGGTCCTTTAGAGGTCACGGCTGACTGACGACAGATAGACGATTTAGATTTTAAAAAAAAAGTTATTTTCCAACAACAAAACAGGTTACTTTAGCGATACAGTTTGCCCCATAGGTAGGTGTGCCTGGAGCTAGAATACATGACACTCCATAAAATGTTTACACAGCAACTTGGCTTGGATTAAAAACTTAAATAAATTAATCATGAGTTTTCCTTTTACACTTTTATGAGGTTCACTATTTGGGACTGGCTGGGTAATAATAAAAAATAACGCAGTGCAAAATGGGAACATGAACTTGAAACAACTATTTTTCAATTGCGATTGCATTTTAAATATTTAATCTAACAGTTTCTATACACGGTTAATGTGTAAAAGTCTACTTTTCGCCAATTTATGTAAAAGTCAACGCTTTACAAAATAATACTACACAAGCTTGTCTCTTTACTACATAGAGCGGTCCGTCGACAGGTGGTCTGGAAGCTCCTGTGGTAGCTCTCATAATTTATCATTCATGCCACCGCCTGCATCGCTTCGATAGAATTTTTCCTTAAAGAGAATTTTAGTGGAAGAAATTCTGTTTTGTGCTGTTATTTAACCTCCTTAGAGCGTCCTTAGCCCTTATAAGAATGACGCGCAAGTCGTTTGAAAACCATTTTGTATATTGACGAGTTTTATGTCTGAGGCAACGCTGTTGGCGTGAGATTCCCAGCCACGTTATCACAAGAAACGTTTCTTTGATGGCTTCCGGAAAGGACGTCATTTATTGTCAAAGGGACGCCGCTCTGTAGTTCAATCAGACAAAATCAACGTATTAAATTCGCATAACGTCGCCTTAGAGTGGAAACGTCGCATACGCATTTTCACATAGTTCATTTTTACTGATTTTTGTAGAAGAAAAACTTATAAAATTTTTGCTCTGATATATTAAATATTAAAGTAATGTAGTATCTGAAAGAGATATAATTTACTACAAACATTATTACATTTACTACATTTTACACCACATTTTTATCTTCGTCTTGAAAAATTACATAGAAATAGTTACGCTAAACAGAAGATTTTTTTACACATATATATTTAGTATGGATTTAGTCAAATATTACCTATGGTATTAGGACATCCTAATATTGTATAGTCTAAAATTCCTCCATAAAACTTTTTTAGGTACATCATCATCATCAACCCATTTATACTTCTCACTGTTGGGCACGGGTCACCTGTCAAGCGAGGGTTTAGGCTATAGGTCCACCACGCTGTCCCAATGCGTGTTGGAGACTTGATACGTTTTCCGAGGGTAGTGAACCATCTTTGACGTGCAGGTTTCGTCACACCCTTCACCGGAAAGCTCGTGGCAAATTCCGCGCAACTGAGAGGTGCGAGGCCGGATTCGCATCCACAGCCTCTGCTTGAGAAGCGGGTAATCGAATAATAAAAGACTATCTCGGCTGCAATTTTTGGTACAATGGATTAATATTTAATGCAGAATAACGCAATTGTTACCGTAAATGTTCACTAATTTTTGATGAAATTACAGGCACGTGGGACCTGTCAACTTATGTCTCAGGATGACGGGCGCAGTGGCAGTGCCCCTCAGATCTTTGCAATTTAAAGCTCTGAGTAGCACCGCAACTGCTATGGACAGGCGTATAGCTTACCATCAGGCGCACGAATTGGTCATCCCGTAACTTGATATTATAAAAAAAATTGGTACATTTCATGAAAACAAGTCGTTATATGAAAAATCCCAGTTGTTTGTACTTTCATTAATGCATGCATATTTAAATTAACAAACTATATTTAAAATAGATGTTATCATAATTATGCGATCGTTTAAAGTTTGAGAAATCATTATTTAATTGCTTCAAAGATTCGATAGTAGGAACTTTCTCGTAAAATTTACTTGTAAATAGAAAATCACCGTGAGACTCGGACATATTAAGTAAAATAACGGATAACTCTCGTATGTAAGTCGAATTTTGCTCGACATGTGTCGCTCCAGTTCGTGGGCCTTAATTCGCCGAATCTTATGATTAAGGACCACGAACTGGTTCGAAGTCGAGCAAAAATTTGACTTAAATACGAGAGTTGTCCGTTATTTCACTTAATTAACTTTTTATATGTTTTATATTTTATTATTTCGTTTTTATGACGGATTCGGTTACTCACGCAGAGCGTAATGTATTATTGCACTTTTTTAACATTTTTTATAACCCGTCGTCTCGCTGGTAGTCTATTGTAATGTAAAAAAGACTCCCGAAAGTAAAAGAATTGAATTCCACGACAACAAACTACTCGAAACAAAATTCCACATTTTCCAGGCTCGTGAGACTCGTGAGACGATTGTGACGAATACTGGGTGATGCTTCAATGGTCTTCTAATAGTCAGGAAATGATTTCGTGATGTTCTACGATTTGAGTCGACCTGTGAACTTGTGTTTATATTTACGCAATTTTAAAGATTTCTCCATTTGTACGGGCGACGACATATCCGTCCACCTTTACATTTAACGTTTAAGTGCTAGCCACTTGCGCTAATACGATTCAAACTGTTGTACAGCGTGATGTTGATTACATTGACACGTATGGGCAAACCTATGTCCGAAGAGTATATTTTTATGTCATTCGGTCAAGAGCACGTAATTTTTGACATTAAAATTTAAATTCAACTCTACCTCTATATTACTAGACAGATAAAGTCCGGTAAAGAAGGGTCCTAAGTGTCAAGTTTGTTCTTGTATGTACTACAGACAGCAGACTACAAATATTACTTAAAACTACTACAACAACATATAAATCTTGCGTCCAATTGAAAATTGTACACACATATCAAGTAAACTATGAAAATAAAAACAAAATCAGAGAGAAAATGTTGCCGTTATGCTTTAACTAGAGTATAATTATTATGTGTTGTACAAGTATAGAGAGGTGGAGTTAGTAATATAGAGCAGGAAAAGACGAGTCAAACAAAGAACAGCATTGTTGTTTTATATAACGCATTGATTCGAAGTGTGTTAGAGTAATTGTTCGGTGATTTGGTCCCCGTATTACGATCGACATAAAAATAGAATCGAATCTATACAGAAGTTTTCCTGAGACATTTAAGCACTAAAATGGGTTTAAGACGTAGGCTTTCATCATATGAAGATAGGTTAAGGTATTGTAAAATTGACGCCTTGAAGAGTAGACTCTCTTCGGACAGCTTTGCCGTATTATATAAATTAATTAACTCTGTGAGGGATGCTAGTGTATTGTTAGGTCGGGTTGGGATTATGGTTGGAAGATACCACACGCAAAAACTATTTTGTGCTCTTAACAACGTGTCGTACAATAATCCGTTGTTTCGTATGTACAGAAATCATGACAAGGTTAGTACTGATGTAGATATATTTATTCCACTAATTTTTAAAATCATTTATAGCGTCAATGAGGTCTCAAAACTAGATTATAGATTTTTAATTTATGGTTTCCTGAAACTTCTCTCTTTTTTAATTTCATAAACGTACATTTTTATTTTTTACATGGCATATTTAACAAAATTTATTTAATTTCATTGTTGTGCACAATTGCCATCTGCTTCAAGCCCAAGAGTGTTACGGTACCTATTAAATTAATATTAACTATTGCACGTGGTTTATGAACAGTTATCTTGTCTAAATAAATAAAACAAAACAAACATCTTGGGCATCTTAGGAGAATAGAAGGAAAGAAATGTAGAGGACGACCACGACGAAGTTATTTAGATCAGATTAGGTAAAAAGTTATTATCGTATAGTATCAGGAAATCAAAATTAAGGCGCTGAACACAGAGATAAGAGCTAGCTAGCTAGCTATTAAATAAGGACAAGAAATATATAACAATTTTTTTAAAAGTTTATGAGACAATGCTTATAATAATTATCGTTAACATGGTTATAGAAGAACAGTCTCCTGTCACAGGAACTTAAAGGGATAAGTAAACTAACTTTTTTTTATAATACCGAGGGACGGGACGAACAAGTCGTGGGCCTGCCGTTGCAGTGCCACTCAGAGCTTTAAACCGCAAAGATCTGAGAGGCACTACCTACCAATGCGCCCGTCACTCTGAGACATAAGTTGACGATTCCTATGTTCCTGTAATTTCACCAGCACTCTTAAACCGGAACGCTTTGTAATACTCATATTACTGCTTGGCTGCAGAAATAGGTAAGTTGGTAGTATCTCTCTGGATGGACTCTTTCACAAGGAGCTCTACTGCTACTACAATTAAACTTAAATTGCTTAAGTACTACGCTCAAAGAGAAGCTCCAGTCACTATTACAGCAAACCAGAAAGAACACTTTGAAACAAAGAAACTGTTTTTATACTGTATTATTACATCGACAGAATAATGTTTGCACAATAAAAATTGGCCGCATCGCTGCACATGATTATATAACAAAACACGAAGTCAACATAATGTATTTTCTCGTTAACTACGTACATTACCTCCATAATGCCTGAGTTCAAAATTGCATAAAATTATAGGGGTGGAATAAAAACTTGGGACTATATTACAGCTTGTGTCGTATTCGCGTATTCGTGGTAACTAAATTAGGTAAAGTTCCAAAAACACATGTTGGTGTTAATGCTCTATTCACTCATTTAAATTCTGTGTGGTTAGCGTAACGTGTTTTTGAAACTTTTTCAGCTAAAGTTTCCTTTTTTACACGCAACCTGTATAATAAAAAAAATACGCAAAATGTAATGTTCAGAAGAAGGTTACCCGCTCGGTTAATTGCTTTTATTCAGTTCAAGAGTTCTCTAACCACAAACAATACGTACCAAAGAGTAGCGGTAGAGGTCCTT